GCGGGCGCGGGGGGCGGCGGGGGTCAGACGGGCAGCAGCGCGGGCGCGGGGGGCGGCGGGGGTCAGACGGGCAGCAGCGCGGGCGCGGGGGTCGGTGGGCGACGCGCGCGCAGCTTGGCGCGGTTGTAGACGAGCACGCCGAGCGCGGCCAGCGCCATGCCGGCCAGGTTGAGCGGCGGCGCGGGGTTGCGCAGGAGGAGCAGGGAGGCTGCGACGACGGCCGCGCGTTTGGCCGCCGAGGCCACCGCGTACGCCAGTGGAGACACGCGCGACAGCACGCTGCACATGGACAAACATGATACCTGTACTCCACTCTACCAAATAATACTAATTCAGTTGTTTCAAGCATTAATAAATGAAGTACATGGTGCTAACCGGCCGTTTACCGACCTATACCGTTTAATAGATATCGGCAACGTAAATTCATCTTGTAAGCGAAATATGGAATTTTTTCGATATTACAGATAGAAACTACAATTTGAATACCGTATGGATGGTAAAACACCAATGATTCGAATCTTAACTTCGCGCGAGTCCCTACGCAGAACACAATTTTAGATGTAGCGGGGTGCGGAGAAGCACGCCATCACCTTGAACCGCCAACATATTTGAAAAGAATTATCATCATGAAGCTAATCTTACAAATATTATATAATAAATGCGAATGTTTAATTGATGGCTCGATGTTTGTTACAAGATATCTCGCAAAAATATGGTATAGATGTAGAACCCAGTCTAGAAGAACACAAAGGCTACAAACTAAGTTTTTGTTAATTCCGCGCGGACGGAGTCGCGGGAGACATCTAGTAATATTATAAGATTTGAAGAAAGATTTGATCGTTAGATTGCATTGAATAGGTTTCGAGACTACTGAACCGATGTAAAAAATCTTTTACCATTGGGAAGCTATACCATTCCCGGTTGACATAGGCTATATCCCAAGTTAACCGTCGGGGGCAACTGTTGGTTGGATAATAAAGATTTGAGATCCATATTGGTTATGGTATTACCGATTTGTCAATAATGCTCGAGTGATACCTAAAAGCGACGACGGCCTGCAGCCAGGCGAGTGCGCCGTCGGCGACCAGCAGTGCGGCCAGGCGCGCGGCGTGCGGGGCGCTGGCCAGCCGGCGCGGCGCCCCGCCCTCCGCCAGCGCCCACAGCGGCAGCAGCAGCACCAGAGCAAGCCGGCCCAGCTTCTGCACACACCACGTACTCCATTGCTATTGCGACCTCTCATACCTCTACCGTCAGCCACTTACCCATGAGTCATAAAAACTATATGACACAGTTTCTATTACATTACGTATTTACATCATAATATCTTCGGCTACGCTAGTTGTATTTTTTAGGGGCAGACTGTTAAAACAAGGCCTATCAGGCTTGCAGGTATTGAGCGTATGTTATATATACTGTAAGTCAACAGCCATTAAACCCACAATTTGTCCTGAAGTAACGCCGGAAGCGAGAGCGCCGGAGAAGAGAGCCGAAATCGGAGACTACGGCCCGGCGAGTGGAGAGAGGAAGGGCGCCGCTCACCTGCAGCAGGCGCAAGTGATGCACGCCGGTGTCGCGCATCACGCGCTTGGAGTAGATGTGCTGCAGGGCCAGCAGCGCGGCGGCCGCCAGTGCCGCGCCCAGACCCACGGCGTCGAAGTGCATTTCGGTGGCCGATGCCAGCGCCACGCCCGCCGCGATAAGCACCAGCGCCGCCTGCACGCCGCGCGTCTGCCGCTCGCCGGTCAGCACTCGCGCCAGCAGCGCGGTCCACAGCGGCGTCGTCGCCTTCACTACGCACACGACACTCCTCAACACTCTCACACACCTAAAACTTCAATCTATCAATATTTATCAATAATTAAACCCTTGGAGGAGCTAAGTATCATTTTTATGAAATGGAATCAGAGACCACCCAAATTCG